TCACTGATGGGTCCCACGTGGACCGGCCATCTGAAACCTTAGAATCCGAACGCGTGCCAAACGGTTCAGTCCCAGTGTAACAAAGGCCAACCCAAAAGTGGCTTTTATCAACAAGAGCGGAGTCGGGAACAATGGAGTAATACAATATACCGTGTCCCCCTTGCTCTACGCCACCACACGCGAAATTGCAGGAACGATTTAAGAGCCGGGGGACCTAATAGAGGGATAGTTGTGTAGTGACTGAGGTATTGGACTCCAGGCCAAAAGGTCCTGGGATCTGGGTACATTATAGCTCAAGTGCAGCAAACTGAGCGAAGCAGAGCAACACTGGATCATCAAATGGCTATCAGACATCCACGCATTTGCAACAACTCTAATTTACAACAGATTTACAATGGGCCAAAGGAGACAGAAACTTTAGTTACAAGAAGACACTGGTGCTTTGTGTAACAGTGAAGCTGGAGTAACTAAACAATACATGACTAAAATCCACCATTAAAAAGCAATTATTGCCTATTACTGTTATTCCAGGATTAACCTGAAACAATTCATACTGTACTGTACTGTAAACTATACTGTATAAACACACACTGAATATCATACTGTAATAAATTTCCATCCACTTACTGGTAGTGACTTTAGGTTACCATCATAAACTTAATCTATAATTAAAATTATCATCAAATATATACCTTCAAATAATTCATGTGTCTGAAATGTATCGTATGACATGACAAATATTAAAATAGAAAATATGTTTTTTGGATCATGTTTCTAATTTTCTTTAAAGCACCAACTGAATGAACTTTAGTATCCTTAACTGTCACCTTTATATTGGGCTTAATTCCCTTTTTATGTGCCGCTAACTAATATTTAGGAATGTCACACATGAACTCGTACAGGTACCTCCAACTCAATTCACATCTTTTTTTATTCCAGCAGCTGGGACTGTATGCAGCAGTGGGAAGACTTGCTTCAGTGTCACACAAGTCTGTAGCTCTACACTGCACACACAGAGGTTTATTACAGATCCACTATTACACCTGACACGCTGACCTCTCTAACACGCACCCTCGGGGTCTACAAGGAAGTAGTCTGCGAATGACGTAATATCGCACATTACACGTGAGGGAGGGGGGATGGGGGTTAATAATTTGTAATATCATTAATATTTGGTGAGCAAAACACAAGGGTCGTCTACATGTTTTAAGATTACAACTGTCACACCACATGATTTCAGTGTTTGTACGCGCGTGCGTGTGTGTTCTGTAGTTTTGGATAATTTGGATGTGATGCCTTTCTGCCGTCTCCACGCACTTATTTGACACATTTCTGGACATTCGGTAATGACCGATTATTCTGTGAGCGCCCGATGACCCTACATTACCACCGAACATTCAACTAATTCAATACATAAAAAGCTATTTGCTGATTTGCATTACCTAAATACTGATTTTGATTTTTTTCGTATGCGCTGGCCTGTCCTGGAATACTGTACTCTTCGCGTTAATCAAAAGAGGGTCTCACTGTGGGGATGGCGGTCAACCCAAACATCCACTGACAGAAATTGTCACAGGACAGTAGATTCAATGATGCCTCAAACGGTTTCCCTCTGTGCAACGTCCCATTTCAAACTGCAAAACGGACGACATGTAGCCAGTAAGGTTCAAATACGCTAACTCGCAATTTTCAATGGGCAGCAGAAGAAACGATTCAAAGAAAAAAAAAATAGCATCACCAAAACGAAATTAAAATAATGCACGGTCTGTCTCGAAATCTGCGACCGCTTGACTGTACGGCGTTCAGGTAACAAAGCAGACACTCATTTTCAATGGGTAATTTCGAGCACATTCAGAGCGAGCTACTCTCTTTAAATTCCCCTTTTTCACGCTGCACCATGTCACTGGCAACGCTGTAAGGAATGGCTGTACACCGCAAGCTCCCCGATCCTCCGCTGTAGCTTGTAAGATGTAAACTATTGTAGAATCGCTCGGTGTGCCATCGGCAACCTTAAGATATATCGTAGCGATCTATCTAGCTAACTATCTACACTATCGTCCTGGCACAGCACCGTTCATAAAAAAGTGGCATGGCATCTCAGACATTTCCGCCGTATTGCACTGTGGTGACATGCCGATATAAACCACCGCCTGTAAGCGTGAAATATGGGTGTTGTGTCATATTACTGTGCTTTCGTTATCGGAGAAAAATATTTCATCGAAAACAAAACCAGATCGTTACTTAAACCCAAAATATTGTGCACATAGCCTTATTTATGTAGCCCTCTGACAACTACTGTAGGCTACTCGCCAAAGCAGAGGCGCCCTATATTTTAAATCGTCTGCTTTTTTTCGATATTGAACTAGCAACATATTAAAGTGCATTTGTTTGAAAATGGTGTTAGCGCACAGATGAATTCCGTTTTCCTTCCCACCACTTCCAAGAATCGGTGAAAGACGTTTCCAGGATGCTGTGGTCTAAGCGTGTCTTGCGAGGGTAGTCATCGGTTAAAATTCATGATTGCCGCTGTTAATCTGGCATAATTATGACCATCGTGGAGTCAGTGTCGCTGCACTAATTCTAAATTGCTATTTTAGTGTAAAAGAGGCGAATGAATATCGCGTATGTTAAGCTGACGGAAAAAAGACATACAACCGCAATAAAAACAGACCACAGCGCCTAGCTGTTTGCTTCATAAAACAACACTCTAGCTACTGTACAGTAACTCGGGACCGTAATTACCGTAGATTCTGAATTGCAAATCTATGACATTCGTTATAAGCAATCCTATAGCGACAGTGTGCTTGCTAGCTGGCAAGCTACCAGCTAACCATCGCTTAACACAAATTTAATACTGGGCAAACACGTTATAAAGGCATTGCTAATATGTCGACAGCTGCTACACTAGATAGACTAGGTAACATAATTAGCTGTTTCATGACCTCAAATTATAAATATTAGCTATAGCTAGCCGGATATTGAAAATATATTCAACGCTTAGCAGACGTAACGTTAGCTACAAAACGCGACAGGAAATGCAGTTTCATTCCCTAAACATAACATTTCAGACTCATGACCAATAACAGGTCTATCTTTTTATTATTGTTATTAGCTATAATTTCAAAGAATATCAGCTAACTGAGGTGTCAAACATGTATATCAACGCTGCACACCAAGCTCCCGAACTTCACTACAGATTCCGCCGTGCAATATCTCATTTTACAAACATACGGTACCACCCCCTTTCCCGTGCATTTTTTATTTTCACTCTTAAACAAGCCAGCGATGTTGCGCTCAAATACGGTCCTAATAAAATACGAGCATGCAGAAGCCTTTTAATTAGCTATAGCTACCTGACAGCGGCGTATGAGCTGCGGCCATTTATTCCACAGTGCAGCGGCGGCAGCGGCGGTGCGCATCTCCGCGGGAATGTGGCAGCGTGTGCGGTGCGGATCCTCGCCGGATCGGGACGGTCGGGGGGCTTTCCCTCTTCCCTGTCAAACTGGAACTGCGATCCCACATTCAGCTGATCAGCACAACAAAAACACCGTCCTGCGCTACGCAAACAGTCCGCGCCGCACCACCCCGCACGAGACGCCCCGGGGGCCCCGCCCCCTTCCCCGCTCTCCCATTGGTCAGACCCTCCCCTCTTTTAGCATCTCGTTAATATTCATGACGCGGCGGCGCGGGGCGGAGCCCATTGGTCGCGACGGTTGCCACTCGCCGCTCGTAAATTTCCCGCCTCCTCATCAGGAACGGGCTACTGTCAGATGACGTCATGGAACATTCCGAAAATTCCAAGCCGCTGCATTCGGCACTTCCCCAGGAGGGCAGCGGTGCTGCACCGTCTTAAAGGGGCGTCGCATCTCCTATTGTGCCCTCCGCTGTCCTAGGGGAGGGATTCAGATTCAGAAAAAAAGAGTGCATTGCAGTTGGCCTAGTGTACCTTCATTGACTGGAGCTGCCATCCCTCAATGCCTTGTGTTAAACACTGCAATCTCAAACAACCAGAGTGATCAATAGGCCCACAGGAAGAATAAAGAGGAGAGGGGATTGCTGCAAAGTCATGCCGGAGAGCTTGCAGTGCACACAGCCTGTGCGCTGTCACCTCGATGAGAGCGAAGGGAATGGTAACTAAAATGGTGCGCTGCTTATCGCTCAGGGGGAATTTCCAAGCGCAGGCTAGCGATCAGCATGTGAGATGTAACTCAGCAAGACTGAAGCTGAGATGCTGCATTGTGGAAAGCAGATGCACACACACACACGCACGCACGCACGCACACACACACACACACCCACACACGCACAGGCACACACACACACACACACACAGGCACACACACACTCTCAAACACACATACACACACATGCTCGCAGGCACGCAACACACACATAGACACACACACACAAACACATACATGCATGTACACACACACACAAACACACTCATACACACACACACACACACACAGTGACACACACACTATCATACGTTTGCACACACACACATATTTCTGGGGAAGTACACATCTTCCCCGTCCTGCAGCATTACCAGACTACCAGGTGTACTAAACACAGGTCGTGACCCGCCGTTTCACACCGCGCTTGTGATTAATCAGCAGGCTGGAAAGAGGAGCTCTGCAGCTCCTCCTCCGTGGAGCTGGCAGGAGGAGGGCAGAGGGGAGCCAGCACTCGGCGGGCTGCACCCGGAGCCGTGTGGCCGGGGGGCCTGTCATCGCCCGGAGGCCGGCCCCCACGGGGCTCCTGTCTGACACCTCTCACTCACAGGCGATGAGGTCTGACGCCTCTCACTCACAGGTGATGAGGGTTAGGCTGGGGCAGGGCCCAGCGTAGACGGCTCACACGTACACGGTGCTGCAGCTGCCGGCTCGTACCTTATCGTGCCGTACCAGACAGATGCCACAGTCACGCTGCGGACATTTCACGTGACAGCTTTAGCAGCAGTCTGGCAGATTTCCTCACCAGCGCACAAAACGGGCGGCAGCATAGCACAGCGGTAAGGAACAGGGCTCGTAACCGAAAGGTTGCTGGTTCGATTCCCCGCTGGTGCATTGCTGCCGTACCCTTGGGTCGGACACTTAACCCAGAATTGCCTCAGTAAATATCCAGCTGTATGAATGGATAACATATCAGAAAAAAAATTGTAATCCATGTAAGTTGCTCTGGATAAGAGCATCTGCGAAATCACAATAACGTCATGGGGGCCTATCTCTTCAATAAACGCAGAAAATCTCTTGAAAATCAGTTCTTCAAAAAAAAAAACCAGCAAGCAAGTCCAGGTTTAATCACTATTGATATTGCTTTAATATAGATTGAAGAATCAACACTAAGGATACGGATTTAAAATGGCCAGATGGGGGAGCTTCTAGGTTTCCTCTTTTATGGTGATGCCAATACCTCAGCAAGGCATTCTGGGTAGAACCAAGCTCGCATCCATCACCTTGAAGCAGAGGTAGGTTAATCGTGTTCTAGAGGTAGGGTGCACCCAACAGACAATGATTCGTGCCCTTGTGGAAGTTTCTGCCGATGTTACAGGAACCATTTTAATCTCCATGTGAGGAGTGCCGTCCTTGCGGTGTGCGCCAAAGCAAACTCACCCCTGGTATCGTAACGTCTCAGAGGTGTAGACCCATGCTTGTTTTCCGCTGTGCTGGCTTCTGCAGTTTGCACATGTTGGTGTTCAATCGGAGAGCAATTCGATAAATCAGTAATTTCATCAGTCAGCCTGTACAGTCATATTGTATAGTTCAGCTACCCTTCACAACGGCATTTTTTGAGAGTATTGCGCAAAGTGCAAAGAAGTTATCCTTATCCCTTCATAAACATACAGTAATTGCAGACAGGCCTTCAATCAATCTGTATAAAAAGATTAAAGAAAGGAAAACCTTTCTGTCCATTAAAATACATACACCACTGCCTCTATATAAAAAGAGCAAGAACAAATTCTAATGTGAACTTTTGGTCTACCCTATACAAAATTTATACCCCAGTCTGGCTTGTTCCTACCCCCTAGCAAGCTTACAGTTAGGACCCCTTTACGACCCGAACGAGACTTATGTGTGCTTGGGGCACTCGCACTAAATTTGCTAACATCATTTATGCTGTCTTAACCTGAAGGTTGAGCACACGCTGGGAAAATGCCTGCTTGGTGCACCCCACCCACGAAGGGTTAGCCCTGCAGGTAACAACCTCTCCCGGCATCTGGCCACCTTCCCTTACTGTAGCAACGCTTCCAGTAAGTGACAGCTGTCCCCTTGAGTGCCATTCACTAAAGTGGTGTCAGCCATGCCAAATCATTATTAAAACTTCAAAAAGGCCAATAAGGCTTTTCGTTGTTCGAATCACAGCATGAAGGGGGAAGAAGAAACATGCTTTTTCATATTCCCTGATCAAAACGAGTAATTGAAAACAGCTTTATTGTCATATGGTCATCTTAATTTCAAAGTGGAGGCATACTGTGTTTTAGCTAGCCGTTACAACAATAAACCTACATAACCGATTCCTACACGCAAATATGGAACACTGTCACCAGACTCAGCTAGTTTTCCAGCTAGTGAATGCCATCTGCCTTTTGTAATCTAGCATATTAAAGGATCATTAGCATCAGATTTAGCGAGCCGTTTCTCACTCATTACAGACTGCACACCCGATGCACAAAGATCACACATCATTTACAGCCAAACATGTGTGAAACCCATTTAGCAGAAGAGAGATGTAGAGATTGACCACAGGTTTCCACTCTCCGACCAGCACTATGCAGCGTTCTGAAGCCTGTGTTTCTTGTGCTGCCAGGCAGTTGCTTGTGAGATCACACTGTTGATATTAATTCAAGGTTTCTCTGCTCCGAGGAAAATAACGTCATCATGTACCTTGAGTGCACAGTCACTCACATTCCCAATAATTGACCCAATTAAGCAATCAATTAAGCAGTTGGCCTTAAAATATTTTTAAAAAATAACTTGAATAATGAAATAAATGAAGGACAAAGCAGATTTCCAGGAGCTGGGGTTTAGTGTGTCCTGCCAGTGTCCCGCCCACAGTTTTGTTACAGCACTTGACATTAAGGTGATGCAGAGAGAGGGGAAAGTAGCTGCTGATGTCAGCCGTATCCACAGGCTCTTCCATCTGACTCAGGCTAAAAATCCCATCATGCCCTGGGGGGGCTCCCGGCGAATTTAAATCACTTAGTGCAGTACTAATGCTAGCACAATGCATAGGCCACATGGGAACTATTACTGGGGTTAACCATAAGCAAAGGCTCCAATTCAATCAAGAACCTCTCTGGGGGCAGGGGTGGGGGGGGGTGGGGGAGAGGAGGAAGAGTTCAAGGATGTACACAGAAGGAGAGTAAGATGCACATTTATTTTCTTGTGTAGTTTAATGGATGGACATTTGCCAACTGTCCTCTCAGAGTCAAAACAACACAACAAGAACAAATACGTTAAAGAAAGACTGAATTTTAAAGGGTGGGAGGGATGTTTTATCTCAGGCAAAATGTTTCTTTTCACTGTTCCATGAAATTTGCAGGGGGGGGGCGCATTTCTGAAACAGACAAGCCTCTGCCATTTTTTGTTATTTTATGCATATTATTTATTGCATTGCATTCTGGGACTGTGACCGTGCGCAGGAATCCATCACGGACTGTAAAGTGCACGTCGCTCACTGGGTCCAGGGCGAGCGCGAGATTAATTGCAGCGTACCGAAAAGAGAGCCAGTTTGTCTTGGCCAACTGGTCTGGTGTCTTTTCATTTCTAATTTTCCATTTTTCCTCCAGACTCAAATTACAGGGTACAGAGGCCGTTGTTTTCCCTGGGCTGCGTGTCACAGAAACAGGTCTGTTTTCTCTCTCTCTCTCTCTCTCTCTCTTTCGCCCTCTCTACCTCTCTCTCGCTTTCTCTCTCTCTCCCTCCCTTTCCTCGCTCCATCTATCTGTAGACAAGCTCCGGCACTGTGCTGTCACTCAGACCTGGGGCAGCCTCTCGACACATACCCTCTCCCCGCGCCACAGAGAGATGCCAGTCCCATTCAATATTTACAGTATCACAGCACAACATTGTTGGGGAGTGATGAGGCGTGTGGCGTTTTAAACGGACGGCTCCTTAAAGGGACAGCGCATCGAGAACCAGTCTTGCGGCTAGGAGCTTCTGGGTCCATTGCATGCTGTTGGAAGCCGCACGAGGCTTGGAAGCTGCGCTATCAAATGAACCTTAATGATGCGATTTGGTGGGTTTAGGATGTGTGCTTGCGTGTGTGTGTATGGGAGCATCTTTACAGCGAGACAGCGTTAACAAGGTTGCTCCTTATTGAATCAGAACCACTATAAGGACAAACACGCAACTGCAACAGAGATCTCCATTTGCCTCTTCACTAATTCATAACCAATTAGCCCATAACAGACACACAGGTGTTTTCATCTGCAAAATTCTGATTCTTACCATGCAGTCTGGGGGAAGCACAGACACCCAAGACATGCGAGAACCTGAGGAGCTGGAATCATGGTCCTTCTTAAGTGCTTCATACCTGTGAGGGACCCCTCAGCATAAGGCCCCACATGCAAGAGTCAAAGGGCCCCTGGGCCATCAACAAACATCAGAGGGAAGGGTTCCCCCTCCCCGGCCCCCAACAAATGCACACAAACACAGTGATAACCATTATGTGTCTCAGGGACTTTGTGCTGAAGAGTTAGTGTGGCAGTAGGATCAGGCTCAGTGCCAGGAGAACATACGGAGGGGTGCAACTGCAGTCCACAGGGGGCACAAAAAGTCATAAATACTATGTAGACATCGGGATATAAGGAGAAAACTGAGGGTGCACTGAGGTCCCTCTGGGGGTGCACCCCTAAGCACCCCCATAGCACCAGGCCTGACTAGGATGAGCATAACAGTCAGTGTGGTGATAACATTACCACACAGTATGAACCCGCTGTGGCATCCACTTGGTCAGCTACAACCAGATGGTTGATCTACTGATGGATATTATTAAAACTGAGAGTAAACCAACCCAAATGATCAACACATTTACCCCAGCGATGCTTCTCCCAGGCATCTGAGTAATCTCATTAAGAGAATATCATGCATCAGTTTGGTTTGAGCTTCAGTACTGTATGTCATCCGTGCGAGACCGGTCTGTGAAATTTCTCAGCCTTATTCACAATAAGCTGCACTGCAGCTGTATTGCAATCTTTGATAAATTATTAACGGTGGAGGATGTGTGTTTACCTGTATTCCTGCCTTAAACTCCATCACCTTCCAGAGCCCTCAAGCCCATGGTGATCAGTGGTGTGGTTTCAGGATGAGTGGTGTGCTGATATGATCAGTGGTGTGGATTGAGGATCAGTGTTATGTACTTCGAATGTTGTGACTCCTTCTATGGCTTTTGTTTGTGTTCTACTCTGCCTCACTGGTAAGTCGCTTGGGATAAAAGCGCCTGTCAAATGAATAAATGTAAGGTAAATGTAATATGTGGTCAGTGGTGTGGTTACAGGATCACTGGTTTGGTTATAGATTAGCGCTGTGGTTACGGGATCAGTGTTGTAATTACGGGAACAGTGGTGTGGTGTCAGGATCAGTGTTGCAATTACAGAATCAGTGGTGTAGTTTGAGGATCAGTGTTGTGGTTACAGTATCAGTGGTGTGGTTTCAAGATAAGTGGTGTGGTTATATGATCGGTGGTATGGTTTCAGGGTCAGTGCTGTGGTTACAGATCAGTGGTGTGGTTACAGGATCAGTGTTCAGTTGCTCCAGCTACAGCTGGAGGAGTGTGTGTTGTGCAAACCCAGGAGTGTAAGTGGCATTCTGTGCCCCCCTTCACCCCCCTTCCCCGCAGCTCCTGAGCCACATGCTGAATCCAATTCAGGCAGCAAAGTTTAGCTGACATCAGAGCACACAGGTGGTGAGTCACCCCGCCTACGCCCATAATGCCCCCCGTGGCCAGGATGTCATCGTGATGCAAGCACACTGTGGGGGGGGGGGGGTCTGTCAACACGTCAGCAAAGGCAGGCTGAGTCAGACGAGACGCCATGAGGGGGTGGTGGGGTGACCAGTGCCCTTTTT